CACCAGCCCCCGCTCATTCGCGGCCTCCTCGGTGTCATTTTAAGTTGCTGCCATTAGCCAATGGGGCTCCTCCCGCCCGCTGACATCACTAACTAGCCAGTTCCCTCCAGCTGCAGAGCGCTTCAGTTTCTGTCTTTTTTTAAACTAAAATGGAGGCTGGTTTCTTGCCTTAAGGAATACATTGCCTTGCCTGCTGGAGCCTAGATGTTGACATGTAACAGAGCTGGCAGCAGGATGGTGGTTGACGCAGCCAATTCCAATGGGCCGTTCCAGCCCGTGGCTCTTTTGCATATTAGAGGTGAGTTATTGTGCGTGTGCGAGTGAATCGCGACCCTCTGACGAGCTAATAAATGGCTATTGTGGTGCTCAGATAAGGGGAGCAGCAAGGCCTTTGTAGCCCCGTCCTTTTCGGTTTGTTACAGCCGCGATAAAATCGGGGGAGATCGAAACAAGTCTGCTGTTAGATGTGTTTGGGGAGGATTGAAGAATTCGTAGAGGCATTGCATACATAGTTAAAAGCAGGTTTTACTGCTTTCTGCCGTAACTCTCCCATCCCCCTTTCAAGCTGTGCTGATGTCAAAGGATGTGAAGTCACTACCCCAGAAAGGTACTGAGTGGGGGGAGGGAACAGCCAAGTTATCGCTATACAGTTTCTATAGAATAAGGGCAAACGCTTGCCAAGGCTTCAAAGCCTTTTTTGTGTCAATCGTTCAGATCGAGCGCCTTTAAAACCCACTGCAGCTTGTAGAAGAATTGGGAGTGTTGTTGGAGAGGAAGGGGGGAAGAGATGTGACATTTATTATGAAAATATCCTTTATGTATTCAGAAAGCATTTCCTAGAAGAGATGCAGTTCAGCTTTAACAAGCAAGCTCTTATGTGCCTATTGCTTTGTGCAGCTTTGAATGTGAAATTTCGTCACAGAATATGTTCTTTTGGGTTTATAGAATTAGAGCACTGCAAATCTACGTTTTATATAATTCATTGGGAAAATAAGTGTTAGTATGACACTTCGCATAATATTGTGTGTCTGTTGTATATTTGCAGTTAGTAAAATTTTGCATTGCTATGTCGGGGTTTTTGTGGGTGGTTGGTTTTTTTGTTTGGTTTATTTTTTTTTTTTAGCTGGCTCTTAATCTACCAAAGCTGTTTTTTTTTTTCTTTAATGTCTTCCTTAAGGTGGTTTTGGTTTAGAACTTTTTATGAAAGCAGAACATGTACTAGCTGGGATCCGCACACCTTGAACAATGGCATTTATATGCAAGAAACAGCTGATACCGTTCTTCATTACCTTTGCTTCTCAGCCGTTCACTGGCATAGCCTAGATGTTACTGAAAATAATTTTTTTTCTTAATATTGCATACCCTGAAAAAAATTGCTTTGGAAGTTTAAAAAAAGCCAACTGTACAGAAGCCTGCTCCTTTATAGCATGTATTAAGAAATCACGATTTCCCTTTACCTTTTAAAAGAGCCATATCCTTCTCTGAAGTGGGACTGGATGTATTCTAGAAGACTCTAATTTTGGTCTGTGAGTGGGGGGGAAGTGTAATAAAATTCCCTTGGGTTAGAATAGGGACTGTGCTTGTTGTCAAGGGAATAGAAATGCAACTGCCTGACCTGGAGATGGGCCTTCACTTTTCACTCTGCACAAATCACCTTAATTCTCTGATAGATGCTGCCTTTTGGAAGGGGAGAAGCACCATCTTTTAAAGGTGCAAGTCAGGAAAACAAACCAAGGTTGGAATCAGAATGGTGAAATGTTATAATGATGAATCTTAATAATCCTTTGTCTCAATATGATAACAAGGTTCTTGTTGGTTAATTTATCCTTGTTGTTGCTCCAGTCAAATACATAATTGTGGAAAAACAACAGATTCTAAGAAACTGTTCTGAAATTTACTTGCCTAAGACCTAAATTTTTGGTGCACTGTATAATACAGTAGTAAAGTAGAGGTTAAGGGTTTTGTGGCTTGCTTTGGTTTTTGTTTGTTTTTTTAATGGATGATGAGAGTGGACTTTCTTGTAAGCAATTAAAGAATAACTGGGAGATTGTTTTGCATTTTTAAGGTGGTAGGAAATTAGATGGGTCTCTGGTATTATATAGCCCAGAGGAGTTTCTTGACAGTGGGAGAGGAAGAGCATCTCCTCCATACATACATGCAGACAGAAGTTGCTTTGGTTTTTTGTTTTTTCCTCATCTTGCTAGTTGCTCTGATGTTACCAGTACTGATCTGCCTCCAAAATGAAGCTTGTCAGAACAATATATACAAAATTAATAGCAGTAAAAATTAACTGGTAACTGCGAAGCCTAATGATAAATGTTTACTGTTTGTCCCAACCCATGCTGCTCTTACAGTTGTCCTTTTGCATCATCTGTTGCAGTATAGGATTAAATTTCTGGTAGAAGTACTCCTCTTTGCAGCTGTAAGAGCTAAAGCTTCAATGTCAAGGGGCGGGGGGGTGGACAAGCCACTCAGTTGTTTCTGGTAGATCTAGTTTATAGTAATAGAGAAGATACTGCTTTACCGATTTCAGATAATTAAAGTACAATTTCGAGATGTTGTATTTCATTTTACCCTTACATTGTAGCCACCATACTTGGCCTTAATCTTATTTAAAAAAATAATAATCTGTGAAGCCTTGTGGACTACACTGGCAGGACTTCTTTGAAAATAAATTGCAATCTTGCTTTTAATTCTAAAGCGCTTTCTGTACCTGGGTCATACGGAGTATGTAATGTTGGCAGCATAAAAAGGAAATCTTCTGATCTGGCGTGGGATGGGAGCTTGCTCCCCTTCCTCCTGCCCTGCAGACAGCTTTGTCAGGGCTACTTACAGCTTTGCTGAATCAACACAGTTGGAAAAATAGATGCAGGTGGCTTTTAAAAATGATGTTATGAGTCTTGTGAATAGGAAATAAGGGTGTCAGAATTTCATAGACTGCTTTTGTTGTCACTGGTATATGCACCATCACCACGAAGGAGGAGCAGTAGTAGGTATTTGTGGGATAGGAGGTGTCAGGGCCTCAAATACCCCATCCTCCAGCAGTTCATTTTGCTGCTGGTGCTCAAAGTCATCTTGGATATGTTGCAGTCACGTAATCCTGAGTCAGACTGCTGTGGAAAGACCTGTGAGAAGTCTCGTCAGGGTTCCTCTTTCACTCAGGAGTTGTCTTTAAGCTCAGGCCCTTGGCCTTGGTCATTGTCTCAGCGAGGTTGCAGCTATGTGGTTGTCTAGCCATATACCTCACTGATCTGGATCCCAGTGTGTTGACTACCTGGCTTGGTGTGCCCCTTCACAGTGAACTTGTTCAGCAACCACTGGACTGTTGGCTGACCCTGATCACTGTCAGCACACTTGCTCTACTTTCTTCATTCAGGTACTGTGAGACTATGCCCTTTGTCACAACCATACACTGTTGGCAGTTGTTCAAGACCAACGTGTAGAAATCAGGTCTGCAGAAGATGACTTTGGACCCGTTGCTGGAAAATGCCGAGCACCAGAAGAGTCTAATCTACTCTGAACGCAAGTGGCGTGGAGCCATTAGTGTATGCTTTTTGCTTGTGCTGAGAGCACTGGCTCAGTGAGAGTGTTTGGCCTGCTGGGGTAGCGAGCCCTTGGTCATTCCACCCACAACAGGCTTTCCAGCAGATCCGAGTTACACTACTGCTGCATTGATCTTTCTAGAGTACAAAGACAGTGGTCAGCTGAGCTGCTTGTCACTGGTTATCATGCTGAACTTGTATTGGAACAATCCAAAGCTTCCAAGAAAATTACAATTTCAGGTTAAGCAGCCATTATGGCCATGGAATAACTACTGTGATTTGTGATTCTGGAGAGAGACTTCAGCTTGTAGCTGGTTGTGAAACAAATGGTGTAGCCAAAGCAAATTGTCATGGGATGTTTGCCCAGAGAGCTCCTGCAGGATCTTTGTGCATAGGCAGGTCACTAGTTTTGAAGATGACATTAGGACAGCACAGAGAGGAGGGTTATTAGGTATTACAAATTTTTACAAGGAGGGAAGTGGAACTGGATGGTGTTTTCAAGATGTGTCTTTCTCCTTATGGAGCCCTTCTGGCAGCTAAACCCCTAGGGTGATGGAAGTGCACTCAAGGCCCTGACAGGAGGATCCACATAAATGGATGAGGCCTGGGGGAAGGAATCAGGACCTTTTGATTTTCCTCTCAGCACTTCAAGCAAAGAAAGCAGCTGGAAAAGCAGCATGGATTAGGACAAACAGTAAACACTTGTCACTAGACTTCAGTTACTAGTTCATATTTACTCTTGTGAGTTGGCTTTTTGAAAACTCTAGCTGTAGTACAAGCTACAGTTGCAGGTAGAAAATAATTGTAATTCTGTTGGCAGATTATAAATGTTTATTCATTGTGAGACAGACATTTTTCATTAGGAATGTAGTTCAGTGCTGTTAAGAATCTTTTAATACTGTATTATCAGTACATAGAAGTAGCCCAAATGCCAGTGTTTTTTGAACTCAAGACACAGATATTTGAACAAAACATAGGTAGAACTGTGCTGATCTGCAATGGCAGAACTAGCAGCATATAGAAGTTACTTTAGTGGCTTAGTTGCTGACTGGCTGGGACTGGTAATGTCTGTCCGTCCTTTTGAAAAATTATTTTCAAGATGTTTTGCAAGGCATACTGAAAGTTGTGTGGGAAGCAGAGTGAGAACACCCTGATACTGTGTTAGTTCAAACTGGTGCTTCCTGTAGGCCGTAACCTGTCTCATTGTCCGTCTTTCTCCTCTGCCTTCCAGAGCAGCATTTTTTTTTTTTTGACAGATTAGACTTTGTCATTATTTAAGTTACTTTAGATCTTGTGAAAGATACTTTGGCTTTTTTCAAAGATGATGTAAGTGATGTTAACTTTATCCATTTTTTCTGTGTGCTCCTTGTATTAATCTTGAGTAAGGGATCATGGAAGATAGTTCATATTCCATCTTCACATAGTGCTTGTCTGCAAGGCTAAAAATGTCAGTGGTAGTGGTGGTTTCCCTGAGCTTGGGCCACCTTTGATCTGGAGCTGAAAAGTTACCTGATAGCCGTAAACTACTGTCATGTTCTTAAAGCAACCGGGTGCTATCTAGCTATTGCAAAGTGCATTTCCACTTACTTTGTATTTTCATACTTGGCTATGAAAGGTCAAGTCCCTTTTGACAATGTGTAAACCTAGGAAACAACTTATAAGTGAGCTGCCTATTGGATTTAAATCTGAGTATGCAATTTATTTCTTAAAGGAAAAAAGCTCTGTACTTTCATTTTAGAAAAAAACCCAGCATGTG